TGAGGGACCAGGAAGGGGGACCTGGGATGTGTGACCCCTCTCCCAGCAGTCTGAGCTCATTCTCATGATGCTAACACACTGGACTCTGGTTCCTGCCCCTGAGCAGCACAAGCATGTGGATGCCCCAGGCGACCTTGAACTATGCCTAGGTGTTCCCTGACCCTGTGCCTGTGTTTTAAGGCATGGGCCTATGTGCGCTCAGTGTGTGAAGTCAGACACAGCCTCCAGCTGGGAAGGAGGAGCGTGGTGGGAAAAGCGTGGTCAGGAAGTCTAGGTTCTAGCCCCAGCTCTGCCGTGTGCAATTTGTGTGATCTCGGGGAAACTCCTCTTCCTTCTCTCTGTTTCTTCCTTTGTACAACAAAAAGGTTGTACTGTGGATCCCAGTAACTCTCAACTTGGGTCCCATTAGAATCACCTGGGAACTTTTAAAAACCTCCCTATCCCCAGAGATTTTTGTTGGGGTGGGGGGGGGTATCAATATTTTTTGAAAGCTTCTTTAGTGATTCTAATGTGCAGCCAGGGTTGAGAACCACTGGGCCAGACCGTCTCTAAGATGCTTTCCATCATTAATGTTTTAGGACTCTATTATAGTGTCTGACAGACACTACTTTGGATTTCTGTTTACCGCATCCTCTCCAGTGGACCTAGATGAAGAGAATGGGGCACCCAGGCTTGGGGAAGGCGAGGTTAAGTGTGTGGGCTCTGGAAGGCATGGGTTTTAATCCTTGTCCAGCTCTTTGGGTTTCCTGCATATATCGTGGGGATAATAACAGTACCTTCCTCATTGGGTTGCTGTATTAAATTAATTCATGCTTGTAAAGTGTTTTAAAGGATTCCCGGCACGCAGTAAGTGTTCAATGAGCTTAGTTATTGCTGTGAAGGGCGACTGGATGGATAAGGGCACCCAGAGGAGAGTACCTAGGTGTGTTAATGGGATACAGGTGAGACTGAGAGGCAGCTGGCTTGAGTCTCAGGACCTCTGTCTGGCAGGGCATGCCTGGGGGCACGGGACCCATACTGCGGCTGGGACGGGAAGCAGCAACGTTGCAGCACGCTTGAGGACAGCTCCAACATGAGCCTCTGGACGCAGAACATAACCACGTGTCCTGTGAGAACCCTTTCATGCTCCCCACCTGGGACCTCTCCCCCTAATTCAGGCTGTGACTGTCCATCAGAATCCCCATATCCCCTGGGACCTGGTGCCTTCCCTATCCCTGACTTGTGTGACCTGTTTGCTATGTATTTGCAGGTGCGGAATGTGACTCGGGATGGGGGCTTCGGCCAGTGGTCACCATGGCAACCATGTGAGCACTTAGATGGGGACAATTCGGGCTCTTGCCTTTGTCGGGCCCGAGCCTGTGACTCCCCCCGACCACGCTGTGGGGGCCGAGACTGCCTGGGGCCAGCCATCCACATTGCCAACTGTTCCAGGTATATGAGGATACAGGACTTGGGTGGTGGCTGCCTGCCTTGGACTGGAGGAGGGTGGAATAGAGGAAATGGGGCATCTTCAGGCAGGTGTTCCCACAAAGAGACAGAAACCACTTCAGAGCTGTGCAGGGGACTGGAAAGGTAGCTAAAGCATGAGCCTTGGGGGAGTTTCGACTCTAGTGGGAGAGAAGTCTCTGCCTCGTGGGGGCTCTTGATACAAAGAGGAAGGCTGTACAGGCACAGGAGTCACAGACGACAGCCTCAGTAAGCCTTGCTGTTCCAAACACAAGGGACAGCAGGGGATGTTAGTAAAGTAGGCAGACCGGGTGCCAATCCTGAAATGCCACTCTAGGTGCAACCTTGAACTCTTTTAGAATAACTCAATTCTATATATGTTTATTGATTTGACTGTCAAAACAACCTCATGGGGGTAGGAATACAATCATTATCCTTACTTTAATGATAAGAGTATTATTGCAAGGCACAGAAATTTTCAGTAACTTGTCCAGGCTTATACAGCCAGTAAGCGGTACAGCCAGAACTTGAAAACTGGAATCAAAGTAGACAACAGTGAATAGTGTCGGAGGAGGTTGGAGCGAAGCGCGTGTTGATGTAGAACAGGGGAGAGAGCATGGGTTTGAGTGCAAGGCTTGGACAACGAAGAAGGCTGAAACAAATGTTGCCTATTGTAAAGGCAACTGGGGCCTTCTCTAGAGAATGTGTCCTTTTGCTGTGTGAGTATCTCCATGCCCTATGCCCTATCTCTATGCCCTTAGCCCAGAGCACCTCCTGATATATGGAAGAAGGTTCTCAACACATGTTTGGGGAATGAAGAAACAAATGATCACATAAATAAGTCTGCCTGAGACGGCCTGGTTAGGAGCTGATATTTTCTGTGTCACTGTCTGACAACTTCCAGACAACATAAAACCCACCTGCCCAGAGACAGACTACATCTGGGTAGCCAGGACTCAGAGCGTCATCTGTCCCTGTCCCCTCTGACCCCACCAGGAATGGGGCGTGGACGCCGTGGTCCTCGTGGGCCCTGTGCAGCACGTCCTGTGGGATCGGATTCCAGGTCCGCCAGCGAAGTTGCAGCAACCCTGCTCCCCGCCACGGGGGCCGAATCTGCGTGGGCAAGAGCCGGGAGGAGCGGTGAGCGAGGGTGTGGCCAGAGGTTCCTCAGACGCTAGCTAGCCCTGAGATCCCAGACCTCCCCGGCCTCCTAGAAACTGGCCTGGATTCTCCGAGTGTTCCGGTGGATTCTTGACCTTCCCGGGCTTGCACGCCCAGTGACCTCTTGTTAGGGAAGGGGCTGCCTGCTCTCCCCCGCCCCCAACACACACCCTTCCCCTCAGGTTCTGTAACGAAAACACGCCTTGCCCGGTGCCCATCTTCTGGGCGTCGTGGGGTTCCTGGAGCAAGTGCAGCAGCAACTGTGGGGGCGGCGTGCAATCGCGGCGGCGGTCCTGTGAGAACGGCAACTCCTGCCCAGGCTGTGGCGTGGTGAGGGCCTGAAGAGGGGGCGCGGGCAGGAGGGCCTGCACCAAGGGGAGAGCGGGAGGGGGCGCAGGGCCGGCCTGGGGCTGTAGGTCACGAGACAGTACGTGCTCCCATCCCGAAGGAGTTCAAGACGTGCAACCCAGAGGGCTGCCCCGAAGTGCGGCGCAACACCCCTTGGACGCCTTGGCTGCCGGTGAACGTGACTCAGGGCGGGGCGCGGCAGGAGCAACGCTTCCGCTTCACGTGCCGCGCGCCCCTGCCCGACCCCCACGGCCTGCAGTTTGGCCGGAGGAGGACGGAGACCAGAACCTGCCCCGCGGATGGCTCGGGCGCCTGCGACACCGATGGTACAGCGCCGTGCGGGCCCCTTCCCTCCCAGGCTCAGAGTGCTGGCGCGGGGCTGGGGGAGGCCGGGGTCGGGTGGAGCTCGGGGCAGTGAATCGCGGGGTCTGGAAGGAGCCAGAAGGACTGTGTGTGGGGAGGGAGTGGGGGCCGCTGGGTGTCCTGTCGCTGAGGCCAGTCTCCCCACCCGTGCCCCACCCAGCCCTGGTGGAGGATCTCCTGCGCAGCGGGGCCACTTCCCCGCACTCTGTGAGCGGGGGCTGGGCCGCGTGGGGCCCCTGGTCGTCCTGCTCCCGGGACTGCGAGCTGGGCTTCCGTGTCCGCAAGAGAACGTGCACGAACCCGGAGCCCCGCAACGGAGGCCTGCCATGCGTGGGCGACGCTGCCGAGTACCAGGACTGCAATCCCCAGGCTTGTCCAGGTGACCTTCCGCTTAGGAATCCCCATCTAGGAGATCCCCTAGGCTCATGCCCAGAGGACCTTGTCTTCCTCGTTTTTTGTTTTTGTTTTTTGTTTGTTTGTTTGTTTTGTTTTGTTTTGTTTTTGTTTTTGGCAATTCTGTCCACTGGGCCCTAGAGCAAGTTTGTGCCCTGAACTTGGATACAGTGGCTTGTCCCACAGAGCAGGGCCTTTTCTCACCCTCCGTGTCACTCTCTTCTCTGTCCCTAATAGGTTAGCTAGCTAAGGAGCTTGATTTGAGGTGGAGTTGGTTTTTGATGTCTCCTTTGCAGCCTCATTTCCCCACTGCACCCCTGAGGGGATAGGGGCAATCCTTAACAGTAGGCTGTGGGGTGGTGCAAATGATGGGGTCAGGGTGGCCCAGGGCAGGGTGGCCTAGCGTGCCATAAGGTAGAAGACTGTCTCGGGCTGTGCCTTCACCTGCAGCCCCCATCACACACCCTCTCCACTTGCAGTGCGGGGTGCTTGGTCCTGCTGGACTTCATGGTCCCCATGCTCAGCGTCTTGTGGTGGAGGCCACTATCAACGAACACGTTCCTGCACCAGCCCCGCGCCCTCCCCGGGTGAGGACATCTGTCTTGGTCTGCACACAGAGGAGGCGCTGTGTGCTACACAGGCTTGCCCAGGTATTGAGAACATCCGGCCAGGGCTGGGGAGCACCATGGATCCCTTGGATCCCCACCAGGGGGTCCCAGAGCGGTTAACTTCATCCCAGCCCACAACCCACAGAAGGCTGGTCACCGTGGTCTGAGTGGAGTGCATGCACTGAGGACGGAGTCCAAAGCCGCAGCCGGCACTGTGAGGAGCTGGTCCCAGGGCCCAGCACCTGTGCTGGAAACAGCAGCCAGAGCCGCCCCTGCCCCTACAGCGAGATTCCTGGTAGGTCCTCAAGCCAGCACCTTCACACCCACCCTTCCTACCCTGTGTCCCCAACTTCCTTATCCTTCTGAAGAATCTTGGTGGGTCCAGGATGAAACACCAGAGTGGGAGGGGCACACACTTTGAGCTTTTGCCCCTTCTCACCTAGAGAATGGGCTGACCCCCCATTCTCAGAGAGTGGGGACAGGGTGGAATGAAGGCCCCAGGCCCCGTCCCACAGCTCAGCGCTGACCCACGGGTCTTCCTAAAGATATACCTAGACCAAGAGGGACCCTTCTTTCCTCCCTGCCCCAACACCCTCTCTGTTTGTCTTCCTGCAGTGATCCTGCCTGCCTCCAGCATGGAGGAGGCCACCAGCTGTGGAGGTAAAAGGAACCTGCCCCACCTCGTGATGCTTTCTACCTCTCCTCCCCAAGGAGGAGACCAGCCCTACCCTGAAATCTGGAGTTTCTCAACTTCTTGCTCCAGAGAGACAAACCTTGTGGAGGTCCTGGCTGCTTTAGACCATGTGTGGGGGCGGGGGCTGGGAGGTTCCATCCATGCCCCCCAACTAGCCAGCGGTCACCAAGTCTGTATTCAAGAAGAGTCACCCAACTCCACACCCTGTGGTTGCCTCCTCTGACCTAAACCAGAGGTGTCCCGTAAGAGAGGCCCCTGGTGGCAGGCTGCCCCGCCTTCCTGTTTTCCGGGGCTCTGGCCTCAAAGCCCTTTCTTTAGATCTCCTGCTGGGAGGCAGTCAGGAGTCTTTTCTCTCCGCAGTGGCCCTTTCCTTACCACTTGCCTCTGCCTCTCCCAGGGTTCAGTCTTATCCACCTGGTAGCCACAGGTGTCTCCTGCTTCCTGGGCTCTGGGCTGCTGACCTTGGCGGTGTACCTGTCCTGCCAGCACTGCCAGCGCCAGTCCCAGGAATCCACACTCGTCCATCCTGCCACCCCCAACCACCTGCACTACAAGGGTGGGGGCACCCCCAAGAACGAGAAGTACACGCCTATGGAGTTCAAGGTGGGAGCCTACCTGTAGAAGCAGAGTGCAGGGTAAAGGGGGCAGTGGTTCTGGCCCTGAGCTGGGCATGACTGGGCTGGGCACTCGGGAGGGCACAGGGTATCGTGAGCTGCGTCAGCAGCCAGAATGTTTTTTCACTGGCCGGTCCCTGATCTCCTTGCCCTGGCCTGTCGCCTTTCCCCATCCCTCCCTCACCCCTTTCTTTCTGGTTCCTACCTTCTTCCACAGACCCTGAACAAGAATAACCTGATTCCTGATGACAGAGCCAATTTCTACCCACTGCAGCAGACCAATGTGTACACAACCACCTACTATCCCAGCCCGCTGAACAAACACAGCTTCCGGCCTGAGGCCTCACCTGGACAACGGTGCTTCCCCAACAGCTGATAACACTGTCCTGGGGACTTGGGCTCCTTGCCTTTTTAAGGCACAGAGCAGGTGGAAATGGGACGGTGGAGCCAGTTTGGTTTTCTCCTTCTGCACCAGGCCAAGAACTTGCTGCCTTGCCTGTGGGGGTCCCATCCGACTTCAAAGAGCTCTGGCTGGCGGTGACCATGGGGGAGAGGGCTGGCTTCAGGCTGGCACGTGGCTGCAGTTCCAGCACAGCCCAGGTCTCTCATGGCCTCCTTGCAATTCACTACCGTGCTGATATCCCCTGCCTTGTCTGGGCTGTGGACCTACTGGGTGTGCGAGGAACTGGAGAGTGGAGATGGCCGAACAGCAGGCTCTTAGGTTTGGGTTGGAAATGACGCTCATGTGGCCATCACAGGCCAAGGCTGTCCCTCTCTGGCTGGCCTCAGGAAGGGCGTAGGCTACATCCTGATTATCTCTGAGAGGAACTAATCAAATGGCCCCAGAAGCTCTGGATTCTCCACCCAGGGCTGGGCCGCTGTGGTGCTGCCCCAGTGTGACCTGGGGGCCAAGGCTGGCCCAGGTTGTCCACCTTTGCCTAGCAGTCTGTATTTTCCCCAGGGACATCCCTCTGGTCAGAGGCAGTGAGGGCTGGGGACTGAAGATTGAACTTTGCTAAGAAGCCCTTTAATCTGGGCTGGCACAGGCCTCAGCTTTACCATCAGAATGCACAACAGGTGGCCCAAGAGAAAGGGAAGCAGGAGTCCAGCCTCCGTGCCACTATGGAGACTGTCTTCCAGCTGCTGCTTAGTAGAGCTGTTGGCTGAGACCTGCTTGGGAGTCTCTGCTGGCCCTTCATCTGTTCAGGAACACACACACACACACACACACATACACACACACACACAAACACTCACAACATGCTACAGTAACAAAAAGGATGTTGGGCTGTGGCATTATTAAAGATGATATCCAGTCTCCAAATGTAATTCTGTCTTTGTGCATATGTGTGTGGGCTCCTCTTGGTGTGGGTTAGAGCAATCAGAGCAATGCACTGGACTAATAGATGGTCTTCTCGGGGTGGAGAAAATGACCCACATAGAGCCTGACTTTCATAGAGGGGATCTTTCCACTTGTGAGTATATGTACATACTTTTTGGAAAATAAATTAGGGACAAGCAAAACCCTAAGTAGGGACACAAGGTATACCAAAGGCAACACAATAGGAGATTTTTCTGCCCATTCCCTTAGCAGCTCTTCTAGGCAACCGCTCCAGGGTGGAAATGCATGAGCCCAGCAGGAGAGTAGTAACGAGGGCTGTTTTATGAGGTATTTATAAGGCTTGGTTTAATAAAGCTGAAAATGACTGAGAAATGAATACGCCTCTGAAGTGGGAGAAGCCCAGTATAGTTTATGATGGATTAAGGAAAAACCTTGAAGCCTCAGTCCACCAAGCCAGAGAGGGAGAGAGAGATGAGTTGATGGACATGTCAAATTCAGAGAGCAATTTCCCAACTTAATTGACTGGGTCAGTTCTCCTTGGGCTCCCAGGGAGTTCTACTTGTAGGCCAGGCTGTAAACCCTGTGATCCTAGTGGTAAGGAGGAGGAAGAGAGCCTTCCTGGGCCCTGGGTCCTGGAATCCCTTGTGCTTACTGGGACAAATGAAGTAGCAGTGTCCTCAGACCTGGGTAGAGCCCAGTCAGAGAGAGAGCTCAGGGGACATAGTAGTCCTTCTGCTTTGGAATTTTCTTATTGGGTTCCTGTTAACATCATGAGTCCAGAGCCTGTGGGAGCCTGTGGGGTGTGGTAGATCTTGGGGTCTCTGATTCTCTTGGGCCTGGTTCAGGCAGTGAGATCGTGTTCAAGGGCCCAGGGTGCCTGCTTCACAAGTGCCACTCATATGTCCAAGTGGAGGGACTGGACAGGTCTGTAGGAAGTGGTAATGGAGAAACACCCAGCTAACGCTCACCCCGTATTGACTGGAATGGCATCAGTGGGAACAAAAAGCTGCAGATGCTGTGGCAAAGCACCACACACACACACTGAATTCTCTTTTTATACAAACTGTTGTGGCTCTGGAGGCATGACCATTCAGAATGCATTAAGGGACCCACACTGTATGCAAATTAGCTTCAATGATTGGCAAAGGCTGCTCCATAGCCAGCCCTGGTCCACAGATGAGGAAGCCAAGAATGTACTCCTGAGAGGCTGTGGTGCTCTCTGGCAGGTACTTGAGGCCACATAGATGGCTGCATGGTGTCAGGAAGTTGAAGTGTGAAAGACAAGGGGACTTCTTAGGTCCAGCTGGCTCAGCAAAAGAGGGAAGGAAATACAGGGTTGGGTGCTCTAGGCCTTCTTGGGCTTTCTTGACTTCAGATAACTTTTGTGTGTGTGTGTGTGTGTGTGTGTGTGTGTGTGTTATTAAAGTAATACATGTGCATCGCAGAAAATTTGGAGGATATAGGAAACCAAAACCATAATCACAGTTATGGTAAAAACCAAGGCAGAGACTTGGGGATTTAAATGGTGGCATGGAGACATTTCTTCTCCCCTTCTCTCAACATCACTCCAAAAGCAAAGAGGCCAAAAAACAAAAGCTGTCACTATTTTCAATAAAACTAGGATGTATTTATACTCCCAAATCATAATACATGAATACAGAAAGCAAAGGAACAGCAGTCATCCAGAAGAGTGGGTGTGGGTCAAACCTAAGCACCCATGCAGTTTCAAAAACAATCAGAAATTGGAGGAACCTGATATCAGGGAAGGTGGGGTCCAGGTGGGAGCCTAAAAATGTGAGTTTGGTTGAAAATCTTTATGTAAACTTCAGCTAGGCCTTCAAGTTGTCTTTACTCTCTAGTCTTACAGCTAGGTCACCACTTCTTTGTCTCCACCGAGGGCAATAAGTATGTACCCTTGTGGGGCACCAGGGTGGCTCAGTCGGTTGGGCATCTCACTCTTGATTTTGGCTCAGGTCAAGATCCCAGTGTCTCAGGATCAAGCCCAGGGTCTTGGGCTCCACACTAACAATGTGAAGCCTGCTTGGGATCCTATCTCTCTCTCCCTCTGTCCCTCTCCCCTGTTCACATGCTCTCTCTTTAAAAAAAAAAGAAAGAAAAAGTTTTGTTCCCTTGAGACACTGAACCAGAGAGGCCCTAGACATGAGGATACCGGGCACAGAGGTGGGTATGTGATGAGGGTCTGTTTGGACAACCAGAGGAATAAAAAAGATTATGATTATCAGTGGGGTTCAGCAGTTGCCTTTTCCAGCTAACTCCAGGACTCTGGCAGCCAAGCTTCTACCGCCTTCCCTCCTCCAGGCAGGAGATTGAAAGATGATTCTTTGAAGAAACAAACTAAGTCTATAGGTTCTGAAAAAAAATAAGCCAGCTGGTACACAGAACTTGTAGTCAGTTTTCAGCATCTCACTTATAAATAGGAATATACAAATAAAGATCATAGACATCAGAGAAAAAAGTGCCGCCATGAAAGAAAGACCAAAACAAGTAAGCAAATAGAGGAACCCAATGAAAACAGATATGGTATATGCACAGAACATTTTAAAGACTCCATTAATTCTTCAGAATAAGTGAAGATACTGCATTCATGAAATAAGAACAAGATAACTTAGAAGTTAAAATATGGCAGCAGAAAAAATTAATAAAGGGTTTAAAGATAAAGGAAGTTTCCCAAAACATTGAACAAAAAGATAAATGGAAAATAAGAGAGAAAAAGAAGAAAATTAGAGGACCATGGTGCCTAGCTGGCTCAGTCGGTTTTGTGTGGGCCCCACATTTGTTGTCGAGATTACTTAAAAAATAAAATCTTTTTTAAAAAATTAGAGGGGCACCTGGGTGGCACAGTCGGTTAAGCGTCCGACTTCAGCCAGGTCACGATCTCGCGGTCCGTGAGTTCGAGCCCCGCGTCGGGCTCTGGGCTGATGGCTCAGAGCCTGGAGCCTGTTTCCGATTCTGTGTCTCCCTCTCGCTCTGCCCCTCCCCCGTTCATGCTCTGTCTCTCTCTGTCCCCAAAAAATAAATAAACGTTAAAAAAAAAATTAAAAAAAAAATAAATAAATAAAAAATTAGAAAAACTTAGGAAATTTTCTAAATTTTTCTCTAAAAAATTTAGGAAATTATCAAAGAAAGAATATAGGAAAATTTGCCAGAACCAAAGGGTGAGGTCTTCAGATCAAAGGTCCACCCAGTACCTAGCATCATGAGGCACCTAAACATGACATTTCGAAACATCAGCCTTGAAGAGAAGATTCCCACAGACAAAAAAACATTAAGAATATGAATGTATAAACCTCTTACTAACAAGATTTAAATTTAGAATACAGTGGAAATTATCCTCAAAATTCCGAAATAAAAATAATATTTGGTTGTGAATTTTATACCCAGCCAAACTATGAGTCATATGAGAGTAGAATAAAGACATTTTCAGACTTTCAGAGATTTGATACATTTCACATGTGCTCTTGTTTCAGTAAAACAAGAGTAAACAAAATGTGGATCCAAGGAAAAGGAAATCTAACACAGGAAGGGGGTGAGGAGAGATATCAGGCTGACAGCCATGCGGCAGGCACAGAGAGCCACAATCCAGATTAGTATAGGAGGACAGCCTGCACCCAGAGAGCCAGGGAACACAAGCATTCAGATTATCTGGAAGGTTTGTATGGAAAATTATATGAAGATTTATTTTATAAAACTGTTGTGGGGGCGCCTGGGTGGCGCAGTCGGTTAAGCGTCCGACTTCAGCCAGGTCACGATCTTGCGGTCCGTGAGTTCGAGCCCCGCGTCAGGCTCTGGGCTGATGGCTCAGAGCCTGGAGCCTGTTTCCGATTCTGTGTCTCCCTCTCTCTCTGCCCCTCACCCGTTCATGCTCTGTCTCTCTCTGTCCCAAAAATAAATAAACGTTGAAAAAAAAAATTAAAAAAAAAATAAATAAATAAAAAATTAGAAAAACTTAGGAAATTTTCTAAATTTTTCTCTAAAAAATTTAGGAAATTATCAAAGAAAGAATATAGGAAAAT